ATTTTCTTTTTAATGTGACAAAAGAAGGAGAAATAATGGTAAGTATTTAATTAGAAACTGAACTCATTGAGCACCTATTCAGTTGTACATATTGGTCATTTATAATTTTTTATTTACATTTCTATTTTTATGGTTATCTTGCCCGGGCGACAAATTTTAACTTTCTTGTGCATAGAACTAAGGAGGAGCTTACAAACCTCAACCTTAGCCTATCAGACTCAGAAGGAGCTTACAAACCTCATATTCTGATGTTGGAAAAGGAATTTAAAAGATTATTTTTGGTTTTCTTAAATATGGAACTAAGGGGAAGCTTACAAACCTCAACTTTAGAACTGTTTGACTCAAGGGGAGCTTACAAACCCCAGACTCTGATGTTACTAAGAAAACTGAAATACTTTTTCTTGAGAGTAGTACCTAGTATGATGTCTACAAAACTCTACTCTAGACTATTAGACTCAGGGGGAGCTTACACACCTTATACATTGATGTTGCAAACAAAATCATAACTGCCCAACATTGTCTTTTAAATACTTTTGTTTGTCATCATCAAAAAGGGGGAGATTGTTAGAACAAGATTTGTTCATGACATATTTTCCTTGGGCTTTGATGATAACAAACTATTGAAAGAACGATGGTTTATTTAATGTGTGTTACATGTGAGCAGGTTCTAATACTTGTAAATATTATTGTCAGAATCTGTTCTACATTAAGCACACTTTGAAAGTTGTTGCATTGTTAGTTTCTGGTGGCAGAATCTGAAGAAGACTTGTTAAGTGATGTCTGGCGTAGACTCTGAAGCTGAGGGTTTCAGCATCAGAAGAAACAACATAATTTTCTCTACACTTAGTGAATGCAAATTGGCTTTTGGTACCATTCAGAGTTGGTGATAAAGTTGAAGTTGACCGTAATGCAAAAAGCAAGTTGTATTGTCAAATTAGTTTGTCACCTAGATTCTACAGATTATAAGGCTCAAGAAAGGCTGAGATGCTTTATGAATATCTACTCTCAATGACTATAATAGTACAGAATCTCTTAAAGACTCAAAGGTTAAACATGTTACACATTGGATTAAGATCTTCTGGTGTATCTATCTTCAACGGCTCTTATACTATGGAGTCACAACAAAGACTTTTGATCAAGTTACCTCATTAACGACTAGTTTATGAAAACTCTATAAATATGGTTGAAGGTTCAAACTGAATCTTTACCAAGGATAAACCAGAAGAAGGAGTATCAAGATCAACAATTATCAACTCAATGTATATGCAGATTTTTCTGATGTAGGTTGTAATTGTAAAAGCCTTAAAATTTCTTACACATTGAATATCTTAGAAATGTTAAGTGCTTTAGGTCTTTGTTATGGTGATTTCACGTACCTCTTATACTTGTATCATGTACACCTTGTTCTCTATTCTGCTGAGCTTGTTCATCAATTTAGATAAAAGTCTTATCATTGGGATACAAGCAATGAAGTTTTTGAGCCAAAATGCTTGAGCTACGTAAGTTTCTTACTTTGTGCTTGAGCTGTAAAAGTCTTAATCAAGTGGATTGATTAAACAAAAGTCTTGTATCATTGGGATACAAGCAAGGAAGTCTCGAGCCAAGATGCTTGAGCCACATAAGTCTCTTGCTATGTGCTTGAGCAGTGAAAGTCTTAATCAAGTAGATTGATTGAGCAGGAAAGTCTTGAGCCACTGTGGCTTGAGCAAGATAGCTCGGTTCATGAAATTTGGAGCAGTAAGTCTTGACCAGTGGAATGCAAGCAGATGCTCGTTTCATGGAACCTGGAATAGAAGTATTAAGCCTGAGGGGCTTGAGCAGGAATGCTCAGTACATGGGATTGGAGCAGTAAGCATTGACCTGAGAGGTGCAAGTAAAGATGCTCGTTTCATGGGACTTGGAGCATAAGTCTTGGGCTGAGGGCTTGAGCAAGGAAGTCTTGGACCTTGGGTCTGAACAAGTGTAAAATTCTTATGTAGAATGCATAAGCGATTGTAATCATATTTTGATTATAGTGAAAATCTCTTGTGAAGCAAAGGGACTGGATTACTCTCAGTTAGGGGAGGAACCAATATAAATATTTGTGTCTTCTGCTATTATTTATTTGCTTATGTTAACACTCCACTGCTAAGAATTAACTAGAATCTGAACACCAGTTTAGATTCTGAACTCTGATCAGATGAAAACTAAGAGAACTAAGAACACAATTTGACCCCCCCTTCTTGTGTATTTTTATTACCTTCAGCCACTATATATGGCGCATGCATGCATCCTTTACGAGCATGCGACATAACTAATGGCTACTGTATTGTTTTCGTTTTTTTTATGTATAGTTCATTCCCTCCCCACCATTTTTCACCCATCTTCTAATCCTCCCCTTCAATTTTTCTTTAAAATGTTGTGCTATATTGTCAAGAGAAATGCCAATTTGATTTATTCAATAGTAAAGCCTCCAATGAAGATCCAACTCTAAAACATAGATACTTTCGAGCATCTTCAGAGGAGCTTGCACCGTTGGTGAGATGGAGATATTGCAGATAATGAAAAAATTAGAAGAGTTCAAAGGCTTGTTACAGTGTACAACAACAATGGAGAAAATCATATATGGGAGTCCGTTAAAACTGACAGTGATTGTCGTATTATGATGCATAGTTTAGAGGAAATTGTCCTGATGGTTGTAATCACATAGATATGTTGTTTAGTCACTGTATTTCTTTGTCTTGTTGTTTAAATTGTTGTAACCGAATGTTGTGATCTATATGAAAAGAACGTTGTTTTCAATATCAAATAAAATGGTTACATAAAATGGATTACATATAAAATGCAGGACTAATAGTGGATTACTGAATTATCTTGTGGAGTTTGCTCTAACATTGGGGCAGTTTGAATGATTGTGTCCGAGTTGACGATATGAACTACATAATCTCACCTTTTTTTCCATATGCATTTCGGTTTGAATATGCGTGCTGTTAGGGAGAACCTTTTTCTTTCTTCACGTATTTTCATTGTGCTAAACTATGTTCCCTTGATATTCATGCCAATAATCCCCCTTCCCTACCACCAGAAAGCTATTGTTGTACGCATTGCATAAATTTATGACTTTGTAAACGACGAACAATAAGTTGGAAGGATCCTGCCAAGCATGTGAACATATCGCTATGACATGAGAGCAAGACATACAGAAGACTTGGAATTTTTCGCAATCACACCAACCTCTATCTAGTTCGACTTGATGATATCCCCTTGGCCTCCCTTCATTGTGGTCCATTGCCTCATCTGCACTGAACCAACCTTTATGATGGTTAAGTATGGTGACCACATCCATGTTAGCTTTGGCAGCTTCATCCTTACTGAATTTCATTGAAGTTTCATTGAACAACTGCCCCGATTATAACAATGAACTCCATTTTGAATCCCTGATCTCAAACAGTGACCCTAACCTTAAATAGGTTGCTCTCACCAAAGCAGTTATCGGTAGGTTTCTGATGCCTTTGAAAACAGATTTCATTGATTCCACGTGTTTTGTTGTCATGTGGCCCCATCATTGACCATTGTTAAATGCTCTGGCCCACTTTACAATGGAATATTATCGATCCACCTTATTATATTTTCATTTGTCAATCTGATATCTTCGCGTTAGTGTTTGAAGGAAGATTTTGTTAAAGCATAGCCCCGCATGAAATTTTGAGTGATGTGTCTAATGTAGTAGACAAGCATCACATCGCTAAAGCATCCAACCAACACACGTCTTTCAAACACCACAAGAACCATTGCTTCCTTTTCAAAACGATTCAATGTCCCAATTCAACCTACCAGCCTACCCACACGTAACCCAACCATCACAACCCAACTATTGAGGATATATGATTGAAAATTTGTTAGACATGTCAGGACCCTCGCACCAACCACCCTTGCCTCCGGCGAATACTAAGAGACCCCAAACACCTCAGAGAAATCATGGGAGACATCGAAGGCAAACGAATGCGTCAGGGTGTCGAACTAGTGGGCGTTACAATCAAGCGACTCATTAAATTTTTATCCAATAGTTGTGTAATTCTATTTTATGGAGTGATATTATAATTTATTTTTTGTTTTCGATTTTATATAATATTATTTATTTTAAAATAATTTTTAAAAAATTAAATAACATAGTAGCCACCGACTATGGTGCATGCTTCTAGAAGATGCATGCATACGACATAGGCAATTGCATGACATGAATGCATGCACCATATCTTAGGATTGGGATCCACTTCATTTCTTTGTCCCTCCATTTTCTCCATTACTATAGTTTTTATGTATATAAAATTAATTAAATATTAATTATATGTCACATGTCTTAAAAATATGTGTTATTTACACACAAAACTATAGTAATGGAGAAAATGGAGGGACAAAAAAATGGAGTGGATATCAACCCCATATCCTATGATACCTTAATTCAAAATAAGAATGCACGTGTCATTGTCTTTGATGCCTCCTCTTAGAGGCGATTTTTTTTTGTTTGAAACATAATAATAATTTTTTTTTTTGAAAATATGGTTTTAAAAAAAATTCCCTAAACCTTAATTGGTATGTGATTTAGAAAGATGATTAAACATTTATCTTAAACATTTCAAAAGTTTTAGATTGATAATTCAAGTATAATCATTTAACTTACATGTTAATGTTAATTATAAGATAGTCACATCTCCATCTAACATTTAAAATATGAAAAATATAAATTATCTTTTTTATTTATAAAATATAAAAAGTGGGGCTAAAAATCACACTATGAAGTAGCAAAAATACAATTGTCTTTTCTTCTTTTCTAAAACAAAAAGAAAAAAAAATCTAGGAGCCATCAAAAGTGTGTCCTTCCCAAAACCCAAAGGCAAAGAACAACCTCAACACTGTCTCCTCAATCTCCCCAAACTCCAATTCAAACACTTCCGCTCTTTACCTATAATTTCATCAAAAACCGTTTTTTTCTTCAATTCCTTCACCAACCAAAAACCCACATGGCTCTTCTTCACAAGCTTTCGTCTTTCACCTCTCCAACTTCCCCTCTCACTCCAAATCCCCGTTTTCGCCAACCCATTTCTTCAATCAACTGCACGACATCACCCACTTCACCATTCACAGAAAAACACTCCACAGAAAGATACCAAAGAGACCAATGGGTTTACCGGAAAACAATATCGTGTAATCACAACACCCCTTTTGGTGATTCAACAAGAGAGGATGATATAGCTTTACAGCTTCCAGAGCTGAAGAAGCTCGTTCAAGTGTTGAAGAAAAGACGGGAAAGTGAAGGGAAATGCAGTGAAGGGAAGTGTGTTCCTGGTGATGTGTTTTTGGTTGGAACAGGACCTGGTGATCCTGAATTGTTGACTCTTAAAGCTGTTAGAGTTATTAAGAGTGCTGATTTGTTGTTGTATGATAGGTTGGTTTCTAATGATGTCTTGGATTTGGTTGGTCCTAATGCGAAACTTCTATATGTGGGAAAAACTGCTGGCTACCATAGTAGAACACAGGTGAGAAAGTTTGTGTTTTTTTGTGTTTTGTTAAATGGGGTTGGTTTGATTTTATGTTGGTTGTTTGTTTAAGATGAAATTTTTATGATTACATCATTTGCCTATGCGGTTGCGGGTGTTGCAGTTGCTGCGATGTGCATTGTGGCCGCAGCTGCATGAATTATAATTTGAAATCCGAAAGTGTGATTTTTGATGAAAATGCGAAGAAACGTCAGTGAAATTGTTTGATGTGATTTGTAATGGCAATTGGATGCATGGTTTTAATTCACACCGGAATTGCGGTCCGATGCTGTTGTGGAGACTTCCACATCAGCAATATTGCGGCTGTAATTGAAGTTGCGGAGTGCAATTTAAAACCATGGATTACATGTCAATTTATGGTGACTTCTTGGATTTCGATATGATTGTTATTCTGCTAGGATTGAGTTGTTTTGGTTAGTTAATAATACTCAATAGTGATGAAATGAAATGTTGTTTTTTGTTTGATTTGGTGAACTTGTGGCAGGAGGAAATACATGAGCTTCTTTTGAGTTTCGCAGAAGCTGGGGCGACTGTTGTGAGACTTAAAGGGGGTGATCCGTTGGTGAGATTTTGTTTTGAATTGTTTAGTAAAGGATATTGTCGTGAAGGAGTTTACTGCATTAAATTTTCACGGCTTGTACGATGAACATACGTGAATTTGAAAGTTATATTGTTTGTGTTTGTAGGTGTTTGGGAGAGGCGGGGAGGAAATGGATTTTTTGCAACAGCAAGGTATCCATGTGAAAGTTATTCCAGGTATAACAGCAGCATCTGGAATTGCAGCGGTATTAGGGATTCCGTTAACACACCGTGGTATCGCAAATAGCGTGAGATTTCTCACGGGGCATTCGAGGAAAGGAGGAAGCGATCCTTTATTTGTATCAGAAAATGCTGCTGATCCTGATTCTACCTTGGTGGTTTATATGGGCTTGTCAACGTTCCCTTCCCTTTCGCAGAAACTAATGCATCATGGTTTGTCCCCTCACACCCCGGCTGCAGCCATTGAGCGAGGGACCACACTTCAGCAGCGCACTGTAAGATCAATCACATATCCCTTTTCACAACATATTTGTTTTCTCCTAGATAGGTCTCATATCTGAAACTTCCCCTTCATTCCTTTCTCCTTAACACTGACATTTCTGAACGAAGACGTGTCCAACATTGAAATCATGCCGATACATGTGATTACAATCAATTAGTTCATTTTCACATATTATTACAGTGTCAATGTGTCACTGTCAGGTGTCTGTGCTTCAGAATAGTGGTCGTCCAATTGACATTGGAATGATCGGTAAATGTGATTGTAATAATACAAATCCAATGACCGAGTTCAAGATTTTAGGATATGCCAAGTCCAATGACTGATTATAATACATTCAGTATTTGCAATCATGCAGGTGTTTGCAGAACTTAAAGACCTTCCTGAGAAAATTGCGTCTACGGGATTAGAGTCACCAACACTGCTAATTATAGGAAAAGTTGTCGAGTTATCGCCATTTTGGCCTATTACAACAAAACAAGAATCATCTTTAATGCAAGCATGATGGATGTTTGGGAGAACAACTATTACTGTGAAGCTTGTGAAGATGAAGGATAAACGCCGCATACAAAAGGGTTTAAGGTTCATGTGATTTGGATACATCTTGAGATGTTTGCTGAAATGAAGAATTTCTGTGTTACGATTGCGGTTTCCATTGGAGTTGTTGGGATTGTGCAGAATTATTAAACATGTTGCAGATTTGGAATAAAACAAAGCGCAATGCGCAGGTTTTGCTCGATTTTCAACCGAGTGGGAACATAATTTATGCCAGACTTTCTGACCGAGGCCACAGTTACCTAGATTAGTTAACTTTCCATAGTTTAGGTGAATTTTTTTGTTGTTATAATCTATTTAGGACAAAATGCAGGTTAGTTTCAAGAGGGAATTTCATTTGCACATTTTTAACCTTTCAGAAACAACCATCACAACTTTTACCGTATTTTTCTTCTAACTTGTATTACTCTATCTATGGTAATTTATACAAATATCTCTATAATGTAATAACAAGAATTACAGAGAAAAAAAGCAAACACTTTGTATAAAGAATCAAAAAAATATCGTTGTCGTGCAGGTGGTGTTGGACACGAAACATGTAAGACTTCATACACGCCTTCAATCTGAAGTGTCAATGAAACATATGAGTTACGAAATCCCTTATTTTTTCTGAAAGAAAGTTAAAATGGTTTCAAAGGGATCAAAATGAAACAACCAACCAAAATAGCACTCGATTCCTTGCTCGGTTGCATGGTAACATTGATACACCAGAAGCTTTGGTGTTAATTTGTAAATCAGGCTGGAGAATGTGAGTGATTATTACACATGCACTCAGGGATAGGATACTTGGTAACATGCCTTCCACCCTTATTAATCCTCTGCACTGGCTGCCCCAACGAGTCCTGGTGCAGTTCCTTGATTATCCTGTTGAACTCTTCTTCAGAGAGTGAAGAATTTAGAAAATAAGGAAGCATGTGTCTCTTGTTTGGAGTTATAAATTTCTTGTGTCCCGTAAATGCCCTGTAACCCTGAAACAAATATCAAACATAATATTAGACACAATATTGACACTGACACGTAGACATCGGTTATGGTGTCGAAGAGTGAGAGGAGTCATAAGAAATGAAAACAGCTAAACAGAATCATATACCTGAATTGCATGGCCCATATTTCCTCCATGAGATGGCATGAAAACATCACTTTTTTCAGAGACTATGTAATCTATGGCAGCCATTAGAGAAGCTTTCTTTACAAAAGGTTGTAATTCTTCTGTCAAAGCAAGATCTTCCTTATTGTAAAAGTTAGGAAACTCTTGGATTAATGGAAGCAAAGCTTCTTTTCCGCCCAATGGTTTCCCTCCAGCCCAATAAATTTTTGCATCTTTTGGAGCTCCTAGAGCTTTTAGTAGCCTAGAAATGAAACCAAAATATCGATCATGAAATTGCTAAAAGTAATGCATTTGTATCGTGTCCGTGTCCGACATCAACACTTGTCAAACATGTCTATGCACTTTATTTTCAATGCCACATACGGTGAACATGTGTAAAATAGCTACTATCAGGAGATGACTCGTGTCTACTGAATCGAAGTATCTTCGGTAGACAACTAGCTAGAGACTTAATACCAAGGTAATTGAGATCCATTTCAAGAGTTGACTTCTCTCAACATATGTTTTTCCATACGTACCGAGTCATCAACTAGGGATCGAACCTTGACTATTTGTACCACACGGTGTTCGTGAATCATAATCTTATTGATAGTAAATAGATAGATACATAGATAGAAAATTTACCTTGTAACTTCCATAGCATTCAAGGGACAAAAACCAGCCATTTTTCTTTGAAGGTAAGACATGTTTGATCTTGCAGTCAAGAGCTCTGGTCTTTGTATCCTCTCATTGTTTACAATCTCATCATACTCAGGACTTAGACCAGGGAGACAACCAGTCCTCACCCATACATCTTTCTCCATTCTTAAATGTAGAGCAAGGTAAGGTCCTTTGCTTTTCATCCTCTCCGCAATCTTGTTCCCGAGTTTCTCAATCGGCTCCGCAAACCTTAATGCATTAAAAGCAACCTGAAAATTTAAATGACACATATCAGTCAAAATATACATGCGATTCCTTCGCGATATTATTTTCTTTTCGATTCTAAAACCATAGACAAAGAGAAGAAACATTGATATACCTTGCATCTAAGCTTCTGAAGATCAGAAGGAAGATCCTTCGATAGCCTTGAATCCAAGCCGCGTAAAAGCAAAACGCCTCCTCTATTGAGCTGCATAAAATAAACTGCAGGAATCAAAACTTGAAGAAGCTAAAGTCTATTAAGCTGTGTTTGGTTACACTCTAACAGAAGGAAAAATTGATTTTGACGTGTTTGAATGTTAACATAATTGATTTTATCTCAGAAAAAATAGATTCTAACTTAAAGCTAGAATTTGAATGGCGCGAATAATCCTTACTCGTCTGAGATATCTCGAACGGATCCAATTAGGAGTGGCATGAAGTGGAGGCCTTCCTTCCATTGGCCTTGTCATCAGGTGTGTTGATGGCAGTGCTGAAACCACTCTCACATCATTTGCTAGAACTTTTTTGAAGTGTTCTAGATCAAATATATCACCAAATTCACTACAAATAAATAATCAAAAACCATTAAAAATTGGAATTCATTGATAAGCGAAACTAAACTTCATATGATTCATTCAACCTATGAACTACAACTTAGACACCAAATATGACACTGACAACCATGACACAGACACCAGATGACACTGAAAAAGTAACAATTATTATCTTTACCTTTCATCACCCCAAATAATATTGACTTGCAAAATAGGAACAATCAAAGAAGCTCCAAGAATCCTAGCAATAACAACAGCATCAACAATCTGATTCCTCTGCTGATTCATCCCTCCAGAAACAACAACCATTAGATACTTTCTCCTCTCCTTTAAAATCCTTTCACTTTGTCTCCTATAATCACTGCTAAAACTCAAACATGGTTTATATCCCAAACCATTTGGTTTCTTCCAAAACTCGCTCTTTTTCTCAATTCCACTAGACCCTTTTGCTCCAAGTTCAACATGAGAAACAAAAAACTCATCTTTAAGGTCACTTTTCAAACTTTTCCTCTCTTTCTTCAAGAGAACACTGCTAATACCAAGTTTGGATTTTGAATAATTATTTGAGATTGATAGCTTTTGGTGAGATGTTGAACATGGTTTTTGAGGAAATGGGGTGTCAGTTTTGAAGCCAAACGTGAACATACCAAGGAAACCAACGAGAAAGAGAGTGAGAAACCAGATTGATGATTTTGTGGTGAAGATTGAAGTTGTTGAAGATTTTTTTGGAGAATCAATGAGAGATTGAAGAGAAGAAGGTGAAATGGAGTTTATGATTTGTGATGGAACTGATATGCATGATAACTTCTTTGCATTGTTCTTGGATTTTGCCATTGAATATCAGAGAGAGATTCTGTTTTTTCTGTTGAAATTCTTGAGAAGAACATAGAGAGATTCTTATATGATTTTATAATAAAAGTGTTCTTAAAAATTAACATCCATTTGAAAAAACAAAGTATGAATTATTTTATTTTTAATTATGAGATAACATTATAAATTAAAAATATATTTATTAATTAATTATACACCATCCATCTCATTATAAAATTTACAGTTTTCTTCTATATTTCTAACTAATGATAAATTTAAATGTGAATTGAATTAATTAATATATACTAAACTGAATTAGTTATATTTTTATATGTGATTAATTAAGTGTAGCAAAATTATAAAGTATAGATGTATTTTGTTGAGATTATAGTTCTTTGTGTTGAAGCAGGTGTAGCTTGACAGAAATAAGGATGTGTTGAGCTATGTTAGATGTCGAAGTATCGAAGCAAGTTGCTTGACACATGATTTCGACGTAGAGCAAAATAGGAATTTTGGGCGTTTGTAATTTTGGGTTCAATTATAAATAGAGGGAGTAACCCCTATTTTGAGTAAGAAGAATAGAGAATAATATTGTAATACACAATAGAAAGTGCAATTGCACAGTTGAATAATATTTTTTCTCAATTTGATAGCAGAGAGTTACTTTGCAGAAATCATTCTCCTCTTCCCCTATTCTGTCAAACCCTAATCTTTTTCCTTATTCAATTTTCTTTCTTCTTTCGTTAACAATTGCTACGCAGAATCGGTGTGATTTTTTCACTTGAGTGAAAAATAAAGAACAAGATTTCGATTGGTTGATTGAATCTTATTCGTCAAGATTGATTTGGAATTCTCAAATTTTTGGGTTAATTCCAACGTTGGGTATGTAAAGCACTAAGTGATTTGTGGGAAGAAAATCACAATGGTAATGAATCATTCAAATGGACAATTTCTGGCGAGTCTTCCGATTCTCAAGAACAATAATTATGAGAATTAGTGCAAGCAAATGAAGATTGTTTTCTATTATCAAGATCTTTGGGATCTCGTGAAGGAAGAAGTAACACCGCTTGTAGAAAATATGATGGATCAAGAAAAGACTACATACAAAGAATTGAAGAAAGATTATAAAGCTCTCTTTATAATTCATCAATGCATTGATCCAGATAATTGTGAAAAGGTTAGTGATATAGAATCAGCAAATGAAGCACGAGAAATCTTGGAGAAATCGTTTAGAGGCGCAGAGTAGGTGAAGTTACAAACTCACAAAAGGACATATGAATTGGTTCAGATGGAAGAAAGTGAAAGCATAACTGATTTCTTCACTAGGGTTACTAAATTGGTGAATCAAATTCAAATATGTAGAGAAGTGTTTACATCAAGGTCAGTTGTTGCAAAGATCTTGAGCTCATTGGATCCAAAATTCGACCACTTGGTAGTAGCCATAGAAGAGTCTAAAGATCTGTCAACATTGACAAAGGAAGAGCTTTAAGGGATGAAGGTGTGAAAAGTACACAAGAAGGGGGGTTGACTTGTGTTTCGCGTTTTCTTATAATTTAGCTTCTGATCAGAGTTTCAGAATCAGAACTGATGTTCAAATTCTGAGTTAATTCATTTGGCAGCGGATTCAACAGAAGTAAATAAAATAACAGCAGAAGAGACAAAAGTTTATACTGCTTCCTCCCCTAACTGAGAGTAGTTCAGTCTCCTCGACTCGCAAGACCTTTTCATTATAACCACTTCATGATTACAAACGCTTATGCTTCTGCATAAGACTTTTACAACTGATCAGACCAACTGTCTGAGACTTCCCTTGCTTAGAGCACATGTCTAAGACTTAACTTTTGCTCACACCATCTGACTGAGCCACCTGCTCATCTGTCTTCTGGTTGAGACTTCTCTTTACTTAGAGCACATGTCTAAGACTTCCCTTTTATCACATCTTCTGGTCGATCCAACCGCGCTTAGCGCGCTCCTAATGGCGCTTAACGCGGTGCCACTTACTGCACTTTTTGGAACTTGTATAAATAACACTTTTGCAAATATTTTGATATTATTGTTCATTTTCAGACTTGTATAAGATATTTTTAGAGAGAGAAACAAAACCCTAAGAGGGAGAAGCCAAAATCAAAGTAAATCGGAGCTTGATCTTTGATTAAGTGCTTCGATCTCTTATTGGGGTTGGATGTAATCTATTGGTAACATGAATCTTTTAACCAAATTTTCACAAGAAGCTTAGAAATGTAGAAATCGTTGAATGTCATTCTTTCCCTCGCTCCGATCCTTGTGGAGACGACAAAACTGGGTACTTAATTAATTTTTGCTTGTCGCTACACCGCTTCAACAAAATGGCACCGTTGTTGGGGATTGATTTTGATATTGAATCACATTACGATAGTTTCTATGTCTTAAAGCTTTGTACATACTTGTCCATAGTTGTTTTCCATATGTGATTGTACATATTTGTTTCCGTTTCGTTTATTCACTTATCGCATATATGTGTTGTTCATCATGTTTGTGTATGTGTTTGTGCATATTTTTAATTTTCGTTTATGTTTTCTCAAATGTTGCATGTTTATTTGGTATATACCAGTGGACGAGGCAACATGGATGAGCTTATACATAAATAAGGCGACGAGCTTATGACGTGAAACAAGCGCTTCTTGGGAGGAAACCCAACGATTTTTGAGTTTGTACAATTTTATATTTAGTATTATAGTTAAAATAAGGTGAGAGTGGATGAATTAAATGAGAGAAAGAACTTGAAAAACTAAGCAAGCTTGTGCGCGCCTTGCTTTTTGTGGAAAAACTCTCTTATTCTCTTATCCACTTTCACCCATTTTGTTAGTGTATATTTATTAGTTTTCCTTTGACTTTGTAGTTTTAGAAATTTTTGTGTTTGTTGATTAGCTTGAGGATGCATTGTGTGATTTTTCAATTTTGATTGTTTCAACAAGAAAATGTCATGGTAATGATAGAAGTTTGAAAAAAAAGTTTCATTGTCAAGGTATGTGTTTAGTGCTTTCTACAACATAGCATGAACATGAACTTTAGGCTTTGTACAAATAACATGTCATTCATTCTCTTGCAATTCTTGTTCATTTGTGAATCACTTTAGTCTATAGCCTATTATGAGAAACCTCCATTGTTTACTAAATGCTTGGGTGACTGATAACTTTGTTAATTCGTTTGATTCATGCTTAATCTTTTGATTATTGTAATTTTGTGGAAGCATTAGAAATGATCAAGGCATTTGTTTATATTGACCACAACCATATCCAAAAGTAACTTACCGGTGAGTAGTGAGAATTCGTTAACCCCTTTGAGCCTAAACAGTTTAGATCTCATTTTAGTGACGAACTTGGTTTATGTACATAATTTGAAAGTTTTGTTGATCATTAAATTTTGTGAGATTCTAAAAAAAATTCTTGAACCTTTGAACAATATTTTAAATTGTCTTCCTTTCCATAAAAAGAAAGGAGCATTCACTTGAGATTTGGTTGAATTCAAGTTGGGGATAACGAAAAGAAAAGTGGTAGGTTGCTAAAAAAAATTGAAAAATTTCAAGCAAGCATTGAAAAAGTGTAAATATGAATGTGAAAAATAAAAGAAAAAGAATGTTTGTTTGAAAGAGAGAAAAATAGTGAATGAAATAATTGTGCAAAAGGAAGTTTGGAAGGGTGAACAATTGAGAAAAAGAAAGTGGTGAATAAAGTTGTGATGTGTAAATACCATGTATAGTGAATGTTTCTTTTGCATGACAACTTGATTCAGTAGCCTAAAAAATGAAATTTTGTTGTGAAACCTGGACAAGCTACAACCTTTAAATCCCTTAGTAATTTTTTTGCTTCCATGATTTTATTTATGATTGTTAGATGAATGTATGAATTGAATTGTTGTTAGCAGTGTTTTTCAGATGAGTGTAATTGTCCCGCGGTTGTAAACGTGTAAATTTCTTCATCCTTATTCTGAAGAGGAGTGTTAGGTGTGATTCATTCTTGAACATTTGTATTGCTTTGGAATTTTTGTCATGTGTGTTGTGCCTAGACTTTATTTCATAATCGTGGTGTCGTTGTAGTTTAGTGGTAAGCATTGCTTTGTTTGTACTTTTCATAATTACACCATACATTTGTTTCCGTTTGTAAAAAACTTGTTTGATCATGATTCTTGATAATTGCTCTTGTTTCTTTATGTTTGATTGATTCTTGTTTGAGGACAAACAGTATAATAAGTTGGGGAGAGTTGATAGGGGCCAAATTGTGCATATTTTTGACTATATTTTATGGCCTTTTCAAAGGTTTCCTTGATATTTTAGTAGTAAATCTATTAGTTTTAGTGTAGCTATGCTAATTTCCGATTTTATTGTAAATATTGTGAATTATGATCATTTTGGTGCTCTTTGATAGGTCTTCTTGCTTATATTTGATGCTTGGAACCTATAGTGAAGGGAAGAAGGCCTAGAAGATCATTTTTTTGCAGCAATTTGTCAGAAAATCGCGCTTAGCGCATTTTCCAATGTGATTTCAGTGCGCTTTTGAGATGAAGGCAGTAGCTAAGGGTCCATGATCGCGCTTAGCGCGTTTTTTGGGAATTTTTTACCTCTATTTTCCTGACCGCGCTTAGCGCGCTCCTAATGGCGCTTAGCACGGTGCCACTTACTGCACTTTTTGGAACTTGTATAAATAACACTTTTGTAGATATTTTGATATTATTATTCATTTTCAGACTTGTATAAGATATTTTTAGAGAGAGAAACAAAACCCTAAGAGGGAGAAGCCAAAATCAAAGTAAATCGGAGCTTGATTTTCGAGTAAGTGCTTCAATCTCTTGTTGGGGTTGGATGTAATCTATTGGTACCTTATGTATTACTTCTAATCTTTGTTTTGTGAATTAATTTTAATTCAATATTGATGTTGTCTTTGATTTTATGTTTGTGGGTTTGAGTGGCTATTGAGAAATCTTTTTCAAATCCTAGATCTAAGATATTCATCTATCAATGAGCAAACTCTAGATATAGATTTGTGATT